TAAAGGCTGTGATGTCGCCACGTGTGATCCCTAGATAGAATGCCTAACCAGATCAGGTGCCCCTAATTGAAATTTTGATTAAACTTGGTTTTTTTTCTTTTTTATGGGCAACGATTAAATTTGGTTAATTGATATTTGAATTATAAAAGGAATAAATTGTACAAAAAATAAAAAACAATTATTTCTTCACGTCCTTGCAAAGAATGCTATTAAGAATAATTTTAAATTTTCGATTCAAATTTCGTTGGTTTGGTTAAATTTTGATTAATCAAATTAACTAAATTAACCAAATTAATTGTATTTTTTAAAAAGAAAATACCATTGATATTTCAAAATATATATATATGAAAAAACTATTTTACAACACGAATGATATATTGTTCGTCTTATAAAATTACTTAAATATCTTTATATTTATTTTTTTATTATTTTTTAAAAAACATTTAAATAATTTTATAAAATAAATTGTATACAGTCCGTGGTCTTGTGAAACAGTTTTTAGTGTATATATATATATATATAAAGAGAGAATGGTAATTATCATATCTAATCGTAAAAATGCTAAGATATCAAAGATGTTGAGAAAATTTTACAGCCCAAACTCAAATAAAAGAGATAATCACCAAAAGAAGCAGCTAGGAAAGGAAACAGAGGATGGAAGCTAGAGCATTGACATAACTAACGTGAATGTTGGTAAAGGATACAGCCATGAAAACCCCCTGCAAATACTTCATTTTAGCATGGCAACTGCCACAAAAGTTGGACTTGATGTTGAATTTTGCCAAAAGAGAACTGCATTTCCATATACACATGTCAATCTAATGTCTTACACAGACCAGCATGAACATTGAAGCAACTCAACTGCCAAATATGAATGATCAGAGTTTCTAAACTCTAATAACAGGCCTTATCTTATTCTGCATTTCAGGTTTACTGAAAAGTCGAGGCTAGAAGGATGGGATTGCAATTTACAACACAAAGGAAGCCAAATTTGTAAACATACTTGTATCTTCATTCCATCACCAACAGCCATGATAAATAATGCATGGTCGAATAGCTCACCACTCTCACTGTTAACTAAGATGAAGGTATCCATCTGCTGCTAAATCCAAAACCAAAACTGGATCCTGTGCTTCTATTGCATGCATTTCCAACTTCATCATTAAGAATGGTGTAGTTTGAACTGCTAAGGTTCCTAAAGTAGCAGAATTTATTGCCTTCATACTTGTACTTTTGTTGGGTACTCCCGACTCCACTGACAACCAAGTTGTTCTTAACAACCATGATGCCCTGCCCATTCTGCAAATTTTCGAGAGAACTGACAGGCATTTTGTAACCAGCGCTTCTGACTCCAAAATTCTTTTCATTAAATCCCAGTGTAACATTAGCTACAGATAAATAAGTTCTATTTCCTTGATGCATATTGTTGGAGTATAAGTCGATAAGAAACCTCTTACATGATTTCTTTGCTCTGGAGAAAGTGTATGGCTTCGTGACCTGAACACTGTGATCAAAATGGATCTCCTGATTCACCATCTGAACATTCCCATTATCTCCCATCACCATTGAGTTACTATAACTAAACTTTTGAATGGCTTTAGTCATGATCTTGCCATGAGATGACTTAACCCAACCAGTTGAGGATATGGACCTGTTTGCTTTTGTCAAGAAGGATCCATTTAAACCCTTGAAATCTGATGAATAGGAAATACCAAGAGGCATAACCTGATGCTGAAGAAGCTTCCCTTCAGTATATGTGTTCTTTCCATCCAACCAGAGATGCAAATTGGCGTCAATATACCACACATTCAAAGCATTTGTAACACGGAACTGCAATGTATGTGTTTTACCATCCAACATATTCCCTAAAAGTGGAGTAATTTCAATATCATATGAAGGGAGATCAAATGATCCAATGCCAGAAATTGGTCTCCACAAGAGCGGGTTAATCCCTCCTGTATAAACCACAGTAAAAGGCCAAATTGCACCAATCACATTTCCATCAAGAGTAACCACAACTTCCCTGAAAGGCCCATTTCCTGCTGTGTCAGTAAGATTATTAGCCAAAAGATAGTCATTTGGTGGATTTCCATACCAAAACTCATCACTCTCATGGAATGACACATACAACTCTAACACAGCCCTAAACACATTTTGAGGAATTTTGATTTCCTTCCCCTCAGTATCTGTGGAATTCTCAATTTCAAACCACAACCCATCATTCAATGGAAAATTCCGCGAAATGGGTAAGATTAAATCAGCTCTAGAGCCATACCCAGATGCCAGATTCTCCGAATTGCCCTCAAAGTCATTGAATTTCTTCTCAGCAGGGTAATAATAAAGAGTTATGTCCACATGATACACGCCAGTATAAGTTCGATCAACTAAATTACCCAAATAAACAGCGAGACTTTGTGTCTCATTCTTAACAAGCAAAGAGTAATACCTTGTTATGTCCTTCTTGACGCTCCACACAATCCCAGTAGCTCTTGGCTCTGCAGTGCAGCTCCTAAGAAGCTCGACCCCATCTAGCCAGATCCCAAAAATCCGATCAAATTGCCTTCCTTTGCAGGTGGCATTCCATTCAAGGACAATTTTAAAGAAATCGTGAGATCGGCAATAAGAAGGTGGGGTATAGTTTGCTAGAACTGGGGGTTTCCCATATGTATAGCCGAAATCATGGTGGAGAATGGGATAGACGCAAGGTTGGGTCTTGGGAAGTCTGATGGGTTTGGTGACTTCGAAGTAGGTGGTTGGTGGGGTGTCATCGAGGTGGGATGTAGTGGTAGAGGAGAGGAGACTTGATTTGAGGAGGGTTTTAGATTTGTGGAGGTTGGCAGTGACGGAGAGCGGGAGAAGTAGGAGAAAGAGAAGGAGACGGCGGAAAGCGGAAGCCATGGATGGTTGTTGCGTGTTCCGGAGGAGGGTATGTTGTGCGTTTGTATGTAGCTTGGACATTCCGAGGTGAACAATGCTATGTGCACTCTCCAATTAACACCGGCCTGGAGACTCACCCATCCATGCTGCCACATCATAAGATGAATTGACTTCAAAACCGGTTACGGGAAGATGCCGGTGACTACTATTTTTATTTCTTTATCTTCAAAAGCCTCATCCCGTCTCCATCCTCTCAACATTCTGGTTTTTTTTTTTTTTTCTGCCCTCTCACCTGCTGGGTTTCTATGCTTTCCAAGCATAAAAGCTCATCAGATCTAAGGGGTTTAATCATCTCCAACTTGAATCCAGTACCAAATTTGGTTACCCACCGTCTACTTCTTTCTTCTATTTCTCTGATCTCTACTCTCTTTAGTTTTCTCTCTTAGGTTTTTCCCCTTTTGCAATTCTAGTGTGGGCTATTGATCCAATCAATAGTTGTTGGTGAGGGAATTGCCAGTGAGAATGAAAATGAAGAAGAAAATGAGAACAGAGAAAGTAACCGGACAAAAGAAGCAAAATGGGGGAAAAAGAAGACCCGAGAGAAGACAAAGAAATAAAACTACTTATTTGAGCTTTAATTATGATAGTTTTAAGCAATATCATTTACTTGAAGTCAGATTCATGTCTTTTTTATCAATGATTTAGCTATTGAATTGACTGAGTATTTTATCATCAATTTATGGTTTTTTTTTTCTCCATTTCTATAATTGGGTACGAGGGACTAGAATTTATGCTTGAATTTGTTGCTTTAATTAATTTAAATTTTGCATCTTTTGAAATTTTGTGACACTGAAGCTTGCAGATTATGATTTGGTGCCCATGGGTGTGGGGTGGTGTTTGGGGAGAAAAGGAAAGAAGATTGAGGAAAAGGGGAATGGGCGGCAGATGAAGGGTATTCTTGTCTTTCAATTAAATTTTATGAATTTAACTTGAATAAAATTAATAAAAAGAAGGCAATTGGTTAATGTTGAAATATAATATCTATATATATATATGAAAAAATTATTTTATAGGATGAAATCTTATAAAATCACTTAAATATTTTTAATTATATTTTTTAAAAAACTATTTCAATAATTTTATAAAAATTTATATACCATGTCTTGTAAAATGATTTTTAATATATATATATATAAATAATCCAATGCAATTACAGTTCGGTTCCAACCGGTTGCCCTTTTATTGCTTTAAAAGCATGGTGACGTGGCCCAATAAATAAGCAGTTGTCGGTTGGAGAGTGCTAGAGGCGACTGTGCCTAGCATTGCTCTTCCGAGGTAAGGTTAGAGACTTAGAGTTGTTGGAGTTTACTAGTTTAGTGAAAGAAAATAGCTCAGAAATGGAATCTAAAGTCCAGAGGGATTTGGGATTGGGTTTCAATGGAATTCAAGTAGAGTTTTTGCAAGTTAAGGTACACAGGTTGCAAGCATGCTGTGTAAGTATTCTGATGTAAGTCAAGTACAAAATTAACTTTTAAAACTACTATTTAAATATTTTGATACGATGTACTTTTTTAATATTATTCAACAAATTTTTTAAATTTATTCTAAATTATTAGATTATTATTTTAAGATAAGCTTTATTCAAATTATCGTTTTAAGAAAAAAAATAATATAATACTTATAATTTTATACACCAACTCAACACAACATAAGAGGGTTAATGAGTAAATTTGTGAAATATTTATTATTATATCTAAAAATAATTTAATAAAATTTTATGTAGTAAAATAATACAATTCAACTGTTAAAAATTCTTTTGAAGAATTAGTTTTTATCAAATATCTCCACTAATTCTCTCTTATACACACTCCATGTCTCTCTCAAAATAATCTTCTTTCTCCAGCTTTCTTCTCTTCTACATGTCCTAGTTATTCTTCATAAATTCATATCTTACATCAAGTGTTGGAGTACCATGCCAGAGACAAACTCCTATCTCTTACTAAGCTCTAATGCTGGTTTGTTATGCAGGTGTTCGTCATCTCTCACCAGTCAAATGTGCATCGTATTCCACCAGGTATTAAAATGTCAAGAAACAAAGAACGGAATGCCAACGAATTTCAAAAGTTTCCCTTCTGTTTTTGTGGTTATGCTATCCTAACATTTAAGGCATTGGTGACACTTAAACCCAAGTAATGGGGCTGTCCATCCAAAATGTTACCAAGCAGTGGAGTGAATTCAACATCATAAGAAGGGAGATTGAAGAAGTCTATCCTGGAAATGGGAATCCAGAGTAGGGGATGGATCCCTTTGGTGTAGATGGCAGTAAAAGCCCAGACATTGTTTATAGATTATTTGTAGCAGTGTAGTCTAAGGAAACCAGAACCACTAAGAAGATGCATAAATAGATTTCATTTAAAAGAAATCAACAGTTTTAAATTTATATTAATATAATACAATGATCCCCATTCAGCATGCTGCTCTTTCAACATTGAACAAGAAAAAGTAGGGAAAAGAACGAAAATAGTATTTCAGCGAAAAAAACCTCATGAAACAATGCAGAATGAACTCACGAACAAGAAGCAATGCTCTGTTTGCTCATGCTTGTAATTTTTTGGCTAGATCTTCTAAGTGGAAGAAAAGAAGTGCAGCTGCCTGCAGCTTATTTCGAGCATCGCTGTGGAGCAGAGAACAGGAGTGGAAAATTTTAATTATTTATATACATTGTCGTGGCTAAAAAAGGCCATAAATAGCATAGTTTGGCTGCAGAAACTCGCCTAAGAGCATTGGTCAGGTTGCTGGTTTTTTCTCGTTTCATTTCTGCGGCTGTACCATCCCACAAATTTCTGTTGACATACCTCTACCCTCTACACTGAGCAGAATGGTTTTCCTGTTGTGAACACAATGTATCCAAGACTAAGACTAAGTCCCAACAGCAGCCCACAACCATAAACCATCAATGCAAATTTTCAATCAAATAATGCTGCAGAATCATCATCTTCTTTTCAAATTTGAAGGAGGTGATTCTGGTTCTTTGTCACTTGGCATTTCTTTGTCAATGGAATTCCACACAATCTAAGTTTCCAATGTAGCAATCTTTAGAAAAAGTATCGAGCTGCTTCCCTTGAAGGATGTGAATCACAAGTTGTATGAAAAGTTCAAAACCGAAAGGAATGTCAGACTTGTCAATTGTTCAGAAATCCTGCCATCAAGCTCGTTTGATGAGAGATCTACTGATTCAAGTTCTGCCCATTTCTCAGGAGATGGAATTTGACCTGTGAGATTGTTGCAAGAGAAGTTAAGTACTACAAGTGAACTGAGTTATCTACTGCTAAAGAGATCAACGATTGTGAAAACTGTTAAGATTCTTACAAGCTCCACCTCTTATGTCTCTCATTGTCACCATCACAGAATTCTCATAATAAATCTATCATTGAGGTTTTTCTTTCGACTTTTGACAAAATGGTTTCCACCAAGGACCTTCTTCTATCTTCTAAAAGTCTAACAGATGAGATTAAATTTAGTCAATCAGATACCAATATGATAGAAAATGAGAATGGGAAGATTTACAAAATCATTCGATCTTGTCACAATCTAATTTGAAATAGCTGCATGATATATTGCAAAACCTAACAAACTTACTGACCTGAAAGCTGAGATCACTGCATCATCTTCAATGGTGACTGCACGGTAGTAACTAGTAACATTGACTTGACTGCCCAACATTAAAAGCATTTGATGAAATCAAATACCAGAAACACAAGTTTCCATTATTCATTGGAAGAGGGAGTGAAATCCATTGTTCAAAGAGAGAGCTTCAGCTTCTAAAGACAATCAAAATGACTAGGACAAAACAAACCTTCCATAATTGCACCACTACAGGTGCCTGAGTGTGTAAGAGCAAAATATATGACCAAGTGAATCAGCTGTTGCAGCCAATGTACCACTCAGTGACAAGGTGAGTTTTCTACTCTTTCCAAGGTGATCCTTTAACATGTTAAAGGTGAAGCTGTAATGAAATCAATATAACATTCAAATAAGATTTAAGAAGACTAAAAGGAGAATGCGAATCTCATATGCTAAATGACATATAAAATTCAAAATGCAACAGCTACCACAATAATTACCTAATGCACAAAAAACACATGAACAGAAACAAGTAAGACCTGCCTAAATTACTTTCCCTGTTTCTATTACACTTTAACAGTATCTCAAAACAATAAGTAACTCTATTAGTTGATACAGGTCCATACATATAAAAGCATCAATGGGCGCACAGAACAAAATGAGAAAGGAAAAGCAGGAAATGTAGCTAGCTAAAAAATAAGAAATACTACAAATATAACTTATAGAATTACAGTAAATAGAGGTTGTTAAACAATGTCATTATGATGTTAGTGAAGTGCAAAGAGAAACAAAGATCAGTTATATGAACTTAATTTTCTAAGATTGTTTCTGTTTTCTTAATGAAACAATTTAGACTCTTGATAAAAGAATTATATCTTTCAACGTTCACGAACTCTTGATAAAAGCATAAATTCTTGCTGTGATCCATTATGAAATGAGCTGCATATTATACTATTGCAAAACACAACAAACTTACTTGCCTGAGAGCTAAGATCACAGCATCATCTCCTATGGTGACTGCACAGCCTAGCCGACAATGAAAGCGGCTGAATTCAAATACTAGAATAAATTCAGAAAGTTTCCATTTTTCACTTGAAAAGAGAAAGTAGAATAACTAAAAATGAAACAGGGAAATAACTCCTTCATATGCTTAAATTATGTTTTTTTTTTTTTGAAATCATGTAGCCAAAAATTACTCAAAACTTTAAACCATTTGAAGCACTTCTATAGAATCTACCTGCAAGCAGCAGGCTCTAATTATAAAAGGAATCACCTCAAGTTCCGCCAATGGATGAGGATTATGTAAGTGATTTCTGCAACAACACAAAATATTAATTAAAAGTACTACACTAACGCCAGTAATATAACAAAGGCACTCAGAGGGTAAACTAGTGGGGTCCCATTTAATAAATCCAGTTAATAAAGCTAGTGGGTGACAGATTTTCATACTATTTTTAAAAAAAATTGATTTCACTCTGTAGACTTCTTTCTCCTATCTAAACATATCTTAAAGAACATGCATATATACCTCAAGAATTTGTTTCTGAGGCAATAGTCATTCTTTGTTGGTTCAAAGTAAGAGGAACTTCACCCAGACAACCTCTATTGATTAACATCTCCAAGAACAAGCAGCTTGTGTCAATTAATTATATCCTTGAAAGAGTAAGTGAAATCCATTATTCAGTTAAGATAGCTCCATGGTTTAAAAATATTAAAAATGACTAGGACTGAACAAACCTTCTGCAATAGCATCAACAAGTGCCCAAGTGTCTAAGAGTAGCAATATACAGCCAAGTGAACCGCTTATTTTAGACAATGTAGCACTCTGTGACAAGGTGAGTTTTCCCCACTTCTGCAGTGATCCGCCAAAAATGTCAAAGGAGAAACTGTGATGAAATCAATAAAACTTTCAAAAGGCTTTTAAAAAGAACAAATAAGAATTAAGGCAACTAAAAGAAAGGTGCTAATCCTGTAAAGGCTAAATGGCAAATTAAAATTTAAAAAGCAATAGCATCCAGGATGAATAGATAGCAACACACAGTATCACAATCAACTTGGACACTTTAATATAAGAGAAACACAAAAGCACTGCATTAACTACTTTCACAATTTCCATTACACTTAAATTAACTAAATCTCATAACAATAAGGAATCCCTATTTGTTAATCCAGGCCTAGAGTAATACATAGTTTTGGTGAGTGCACAGAGCAAAATGAGAAAGAAAAAGCAGGGAACTGGGTCTGGGATGTAATACAACGCAGCTAACAGAAAAATGAAAAATGCCACAAATAGAACTTAACAGTAAATTGAGGTTGCTAAACAAATTCAAGTGCTTGACCTTGTTGAAACAGATTGTTAGATAAATACAGATTGTTAGATAAATACAGATTGTTAGATAAATACAGATTGTTAGATAAATAGAACTTACAATAAATTCAAGTTGTTACACGGTTTTCTTAATGGAACAATTTGCATTCTTGATAAATGAATTGCCTTCTTGTAAGGAATGTGACACGAAAATAAAAAAAATCCACCAGACACAACTTTCTTTATTTTAGCTTCTCATCAGGCACAAGAAATAATTCACAAGACAACCCAATATCAATGACAATAACAGGTAAAGACATTTTTCAAGTTTTAACAATAACTCTTAGCCTTTGACTGCAAAATAAGTACCTGAATATCAGAGCCATCAAAACAAGCAATTACTTCAGCCATGACGACAGAAACCTTTCCTGAGGATGTAATCTTGGGTCATGTCTCTCTTAGCTCCACAGACTCTCAATTTTAGGATGCTTGCAGGATACACCATTTGTAAGAAAAATATCCATTGACAAGTTCACAAAAAGAACAACAAATATAACTCTAATTTATCTCGGCAAAATAAGATCAAGTTGAATGATCTCTACTCTATTTGGCATGACCTACACTGACTAGCAATGAATACAATGCATTGACCTCAGAATTTAAATAAAAGTTTACAAATGAGACCTGGGACTTACATATGTTAATGCTAACCTATATATGTTGTTTTCAAGAGATAGAAACATGTTATCTCAACCTAGGCATATGCAGCGTGGAAATATCTAAAATTTTTAAGCAGTAAAGACAAAACACATTAATTTATTCCACACAGAGAATTACAGCTTTTCCTCTAAAGATAGAAATTAATATCTCCAGAAAGAAGGAAAACACCAAGGAAAATTACCTGCCTATGAATCAGATCACCAGCCAAAGAATAAGACTTGAGTTGGCAATGCTAGAGGGTGGGCCTCCAAAGAGCAAAGGAGATTGGGATCATCCCTCACCCAACCCTCTTAAGTAATCCTCCCCGAAATCGCTCAGTTGTCATTCAAGATTTGTCAGATGCATCTCTGCTTCGGCACCAATTGGAGAAATATGGTGAAAGGAGATGTTTGGGGGTCCAAAAATTAAAGAATTTTGACATTTAACTTCAGTAAAATGCACCGTTTAAAGGCAACCAAAACAAAGGAAAAGAGAATAAAATACAAAGAGATAGATAACATTAAAAGAAACCAATTACTCCAAGAAAAATACATGAGCAACTGCTGCAGAGCAAATAAATGAAATCCAAAAGAAATCAACACAAATTCATACATAATCATAATTCCCACACAAGGCAACACAACTATATATCAACAATGAACATGAAAAATATGGAAACAAACTCAAGAAGCAACTGTTGCTAGATCTCCCCGGAGCAGGAAATCAACTGCACCTGCATGCACCTATGTAAGAAAAAGCAAAAGTAGACAAATTAAGTTTCACTATTATATAATATGCCTTGATTTTTATGGTTAGAACTTATATAGAACACAACTATTATAGAGAGAGTTGTAGAAACTTACTCACCTAAGAGCGTTGGTTGCGTTTTTTGGTTTTTCTCTTCTTATGGCTGCTGTTGTACCCTTCAACTAATTTTTGTTGATATTTCTCCACTTTCTTCACCACCCACCATGGTTTTCCTATAGTGAAGGAAATGTATCCTAGACTAAGTCCTAACACTAGTCCACACCCATAGCCTGCCAATGCAAACTTCCACTCAAGGAGTGTTGTAGAGTCATCCTCTTCATTAAATTTTGGAGGTGCTCCTGGTTCTTCCTCCTCGTGGCAATTCCTTGCCAATGGGAATCCACACAACCCAGAGTTTCCAATGTAGGAATCATTTGAGAAAGTATTGAACTGCTTCCCTTCAGGTATGTGGCCCACAAGTTCATTGTATGAAAGATTCAAAACTGATAGGAACGTCAGCTTTGTCAATTGCTCAGGAATCCTACCTTCAAGCTTGTTTGATGAGAGATCTAATGACTCGAGTGCTGCTAATTTCCCCAACGATGATGGAATTTGATCTGTGAGACTATTGTGAGACAAGTTTAGCCCTTTAAGTGAATTGAGTTCTCCCAGCTCTTTAGGAATCGGTCCATGAAATTGATTGCTTGAGAAATCTATAGTTGTGAAAATTTTCAAGATCCTTTCAAGCTCCCTCTCTGACCCTTTCATTACAACCTTCACAGAATCCTTATAATAGTAAGGAGAAGCACCATCTCGGCAAATATAAATTTTTTTACATTCATGGGTAGAAGGCTCATCTACTTGCTCGTCACCAATGTATTCCAATGTATCAGCTGGAGCTACATCTCTCATACCTTTCAAAATTTTGAAATAGTTACTCGGTAGGAGACCCATAAAATCATTCTGCGCAACATCAATGATTCTCAACTGAAGGAAGTAATATGCAGGCATAGAATTGTTGATAGCACCATGAAATCCATTAGATCGAAGGATGAGAACTTTTAGCGATAGAAGAACACCTAACCAATCTGGAAAGGTATCATTCAAGTTGTTGTTCCCCACATCTAGAATTTCCAAGTTACTGCAATTAACCAAAGACCGTGGCAGTATACCTTCCAACTGGTTGCCATTTAAGTTAAGAGTTCTCAGTTCACTCTTGTTGACAAAAGAATTTGGTATTCTACCATGAAACTTATTCATCCGCAGATCCAAGAAGGCGAGATTTCTCAAGTTTCCAAGACATTTTGGAATTTTTCCTCCCAAACTATTATAAGCAAAATCCAGAACTTCAAGAGAGTTCAAATTGCAATAAGAAGAAGGGATTTCGCCATTCAAATTATTCCCTGAAATGAAGAGTTGTTGCATAGAATCCCAAGCTGTTGATAGAATGGGAAGTGATCCTTCTAGTAAGTTGGATATGAGGTCAACAATTTCAAGATTTCTAGAACCAAATGAATCTATACTAGTCAAGAAGTTATAAGAAAGGTTTAAAATACTCGATGACATACCTTCTATTTCCCATTTGTGAATTTGACCAGAAATGTTGTTCTTGGAAATATCCAATACTTGCAAACTCTTTGCCTTCCTTAAGAAACTTGGGAACTTGTGTATGTTGCAAGAAGAGAATTTAAAAACAAAGAGCTTTGGAAAGAAATGGTTAACACCAGTGCCATTATTGCTCAAAGACAGCAAACTATTATTGGAAAGATCCAGATTCTGAAGGTTTACAAGTTTTGAAAGCATGTTGGCTGTAATGGTGCCACTTAAATTATTTGAAGAAAGGTCGACTGTAGTAAGATTCACAAGATGAAAGAAAGAGCTAGGAATTGAACCATTTATCTCATTATTGGATAGAAACACTTTTTCTAAATTGAGATTGGGCATCTCAATATGATCAATTGAACCTGTAAGTCTGTTGTTTTGAAGGAGTAAGTAGGATAAAGAAGGCAGAGAAAACAACCAAGATGGTACTTGACCTAATAGCTCATTTGATGACAGTGACAACAAAGTAAGATGGGTGAGGTTGGAGATTGATGCAGGAATTTCACCGTGAAAACTGTTATTAGAAAAGCTCAAATGAGTTAGCTTGTGCATTTTTCCAATAACATCTGGAATCTGTCCTTCCAAAAGGTTAGAAGAAAAATCTAGGTAAGTTATCTCTGTAATATTTGCAAGAGATCTAGGAATTGATCCATAAAATTGGCAAACATAAAGGTCCAATTCCTCTAGGAGTTTAAAATTTCTGATTAAATGAGACAACTCTCCCGAGAAGCTTGTGCTTTTGAGATACAAGTACTTGAGGGTACTACTCCAGTTTGACTCAAGCAAATTACCTCTTAAGTAATGGTTGTGAGTTAGATCAATAAGCCGGAGAGATGGAAGCTGAAAAACTTGGTTTGGAAAGTTTCCTTGCAAATTACAATAGCTAAGGCTCAAATGCTCCAAGGAAGAAGTCAAGTTTAGCAAGGAAGAAGGCACAACCAGAGACATGTTCACAGAATCAAGGATAAGAAACCTTAATTCTGTTAAGTTATGCACAAACATTTGAAACTTTATGTTGTCAAGAAACAAATCATTATAAGAGAGATCAAGTGAAACCAATTTCATTAGCTGAAAAACTTGGTTTGGAAAGTTTCCTTGCAAATTACAATCAATAAGGCTCAAATATTCCAAGGAGGAAGTCAAGTTTAGCAAGGAAGAAGGTGCAACCAGAGACATATTCACAGAATCAAGGATAAGAAACCTTAATTCGGTTAAGTTATGAACAAGCATTTGAAACTTTATGTTGTTAAGAAGCAAACCATAATTATCAGAGAGATCGAGTGAAACCAATTTTGATAGCAAGGAGATCTCATCAAATAGGAGAGAGCCATCCACGTAATATGAATCTACAAGGTTAAAGATTTGTCACATTAAAAGAAGTGGAACCAGTTTTGGAAGCACGGAGATTTTAAACAAAAGAAAAAGATATGAAATCTCGTACCTGAAAGATTAAAATATGTCAAACTCTTCCAGCGGTCGAACCCAAACGAGATGTTAGGATAATGAAAGTAATTGCCAGAAAGGTTGAGACTCTGCAATTTCTCAAGGCGGAAGAGACTACTATTTGTAGTTAGATTGGCTTTAAGACAATTACTGCTAAGATCAAGACCAATCACGTGACCCTTCGGCTTGTCGCATGTGATGCCCTCCCACAAGCAGCATTCTTTACTCTCGTTCCAAGTTTGTATTATAGGACGAGGAGTAAAAAAACAGTCTTCCTTCATATTAGTAGTGCTTTTGAAATCAAGCAATG